TGGTCTAAAGCTGCATACACACCAGTGTGATTGATCTAAAGCTGCATGCACACCAGTGTGATTGGTCTAAAGCTGCATACACACCAGTGTGATTGGTCTAAAGCTGCATGCACACCAGTGTGATTGGTCTAAGGCTGCATGTGCACCAGTGTGATTGGTCTGAAGCTGCATGCACATAAGTGTGATTGGTCTAAGGCTGCATGTGCACCAGTGTGATTGGTCTAAAGCTGCATGCACACCAGTGTGATTGGTCTAAGACTGCATGCACACCAGTGTAATATGGTCTAAGGCTGCATGCACACCAGTGTAATATGGTCTAAGGCTGCATGTGCACCAGTGTAATATGGTCTAAGGCTGCATGTACACCAGTGTAATATGGTCTAAGGCTGCATGTACACCAGTGTAATATGGTCTAAAGCTGCATTCACACCAGTGTAATATGGTCTAAGGCTGCATGCACACCAGTGTAATATGGTCTAAGGCTGCATGTACACCAGTGTAATATGGTCTAAGACTGCATGCACACCAGTGTAATATGGTCTAGGAATGCATGCACACCAGTGTAATATGGTCTAAGGCTGCATGAACACCAGTGTAATGGTCTAAAGCTGCATGCACGCCAGTGTAGCTCTAAGTGTAATACTGTATGGTCTAAGGCTGCATGCACACCATGACGGAAAAAATTATTCAAAGATTATTTTTTTCCTGCAATTTACATAATACACTGTATGTAAATGTTATTATTTTTATATTTTCCAACATTCAGCCTACTCCAGAGATGTATCAAAGAGCATATAACCTATACAATGGCAAGCTAAAGAATTCATGTTTCAAGTATGTTATGCTTCTCTTATTCACTTTATATTATATTTCACATTGATACCTATATGAAAGACTCGGACAATGTCTGGAGAGAATCTTACTGTAATTCGTATCATCAAATCATTGCCTTGCTGGTCAATTTGACCAGTAACATTGAGCCAGAAATGAGGTATGACCAAGCTAAAACTGATTTGTCCAGGCGTCNTCCACATTGATACCTATATGAAAGACTTAGACAATGTCTGGTAAGAATCGTAATTTGTATCATCAAATCATTGCCTTGCTGGTCAATTTGACCAGAAACATTGAGCCAGAAATAAGGTATGACCAAGTACGACTGATTTCTCCTGTCGTCATAACTAGTTACATACAGTCAATTCAAAAAATGTTGTCATCGACCAACGCAAGCCTACGTGACTGGACCAAAAGGCACTCTGGGTACGAACCTTCGTAGGCGAGCAGGAAGTGTTGAAGGAGACGTTTTTTTAATGCCTTCATATTTTCGAAATTGTGAACTGTAACTACTTTGTTTTCTTTCCCTAAACACAAAGACATGCATTTGATGGATTGTTTCTCGCCATTATTATCTTATTACTAGCGGGAACAATGAATTCAGAACAAATATTTAACCGCTTCAGTGATTTTTACCCATATTCCTTTCGGTTCAGTCGCATAGCTCTAGCCGGTCAACGACAATGTTTTTTGAATTGACTGTATACTTATGAGCTACTGACTGCCATGGCAGATGTTTATTCCATGGGCCCGGTTGTTGAAGCCTGGATAGCGCTATCCGGTGGATAAATCCTTATCCAGTCGATTAGTTGATGCTGTTATCCAATATATTTATCCACTGGATAAGATTTATCCGTTGGATAGCGCTATCCAGGCTTCGTTCAACTGGGCCCTGTATGATATGTATTATTTAAAATTATATTACTTTTAACAATATACACATATAATTTTAGACCACGTAATATAATATTACAGACACTTATTACCATCAAGATAAATAGTTTGACTGATTGAAAGTAATTAATTGTCAATATGGGTATCAATTTAACAAATACACATCGATTAAAATTGTGTCATCACATTGTCAAAGTAGTGACCACTTTGACAATGTGATGATGCTCGTTGACATCAGCTTTATCTGTCTGTCCTCTTATTGATGATAAAAAATAACCAATCAGCGTGCAAGAAATTTGTAAGTTATTGTMAAWTTGATGTTTGCAGGGCTTGGTTGAAGTTCCATTACCACATGAAGAGGAAGAAAATGATCCTTACAAAAAAACTCAATGATGCTCGAACTTGGTATCGACTAAGAATACTGAAGATGAGACTCACAAAGTGGATYGTATCCAATTATTATGAAGTTTAGATTAACTCTCATTACTATACATTGTTTTTACTAAGTATCTCGATTCTGGTTGGTCAAGAGCCCTCAGCCAATCCCTGATATCATGTGAACTCRACATTAATGTATTTTCTGTAGGAAAACCTACAGATAATACATTTATCATGTCAAGTTCATTCAGGGTCACGCTGTGGTACTGTAGCTTTGCCAAGGGCATTGAGATCCATTGAGATGTCTCTATAATGCAATGTTCATGTTAATGTTTTCCATTATACAAAATATATAATAAAGCAATTATTGAATTCGGTTTTCACATATCGTAAATTATCATGCTCTACCTCATCCAATAATTGCTTATTATCAGTGAAATTAATTAAACAGTACCCCAAAAAATATCAACATACTAAGTAATATATACAGTATGAGTGGCCGTGTTGTATCAGATATTGTATATCGGATACAACACGGACACAAATACTGTAGTTTGCTTGTCAAACGTCTAGGTTAGTTCCTTTGTGTTTCACTAAAATTTTCAAAATTAAAGTGAATTTGTCCAAGAAAATCCAACTTAAAGTTTATGCAAATGAACACAGTTTTGTATCAGATTTACAACACTTAAAACTAATTAACTCTTCACGGTTGTAATTTCTGTTGTGTTTTCCTCATGAATTATTAATGACTTTGACAAATGTTTTTAAAAAAAGGCTTAAATGGTTATAAAGAGTGTGATGTAAAGAGAATGGGAATGTTATATAGTAGTGATTTTATATTTCTAAATACAGTCAGATTTCCTTAATGATAAAATAATATTTAAAAAAAAGGAATGGGTTGCAATAAGAAAAGAAAGACAGCGAGGTAATCATAAGACATTTGTTAGAAATAATTTTGATTCTAATATGTATCATGGGCCCTGAAAACAATCACAGATAACGTCTGTTAATATAACTTTATTAAAGAGGGGGCACACAACAGCTGCAATTGAATAAAAAACGTACTGATAACCCAGTGCACAGGGAAAAAACAGATTCCCAAACTGGGAATTTGTTGGGAATTTCCTTGAATTCCCAATGAATTCCCATCCAATTCCCAGAGAGAACGAAATTGGGAATTTGGCACTGATTCCCATTGTTAGTTTGTTGGGAATTTTGTTTTTCTATTGGGTATTAGAAGGAAATTCGCAACAATAAATCCCAACGTTGGTGTTTTAATTGGGAATTCAAGGAAATTCCCAACAATTCCCAATTTGGTAATCCGTTTTTTTTGGCTGTGGTGACCATCAATCAATCTTCTCTGCAAGTTGATCACAATAGACAAATCAAACAATTAAATGGTTTCAATTCAGATCATGTTCAAAAACCTGTAATTGAGACTTAGTGCTTTCCACGTTTATGTGACCTTGAAAAATTTCTAGAAATCTGGGTTTTTGGTTTCTATCAATCAAAAATTTGATTGGCAGCTCCCAAAACACATAAAAGTGCACCACATCTGGTTTGCCAACACATGAATTATTTTTATATTACTGAAAAATCAAATAATTTCTTTTTCTTTTTTTGCACAGCTATTTCAACAAGAATACAAAGGGTCGTAACCATATCTCTACTGCGGCTTGTTTTCAAGGCGTGGCAGGGGGTAGCTGCTGATGCAAGAAGAACAAAAGAATATTTTGAGGTTTGCAAAATTAAATTTACATTAATCTCATGCCATGTCAGGGTTATAGAGGTCCATAATAAAGTTGGTTATTATCATTATCATTATTATTATAATAAAATTCGTATCTCCAAGCGGCCATGTAATGTTCTGTTTATCATAAAGATATCGATGAAACTTAAATAAAACAAAAGCTCAAAAATTCTCTATTTAAATACGTTACTATGTCAACAGCGATATCTTCACGTGTGAAAGATATGGTATCTTCCACTGGTGAAAGATAAATAAACTAGATAAACTAGATAAAACCTGGTATTTCATCGATATCTATATGATAATAATAATAATGATGATAACAATAGTTATTATTATTATTATTATAAATAACTGTGTTTGTATGTTTTGGTAGAGAATAGAGAAAGGTGAAATCATTGATGGAGGAGAAGGAGGCTTCCTTGCTGTAAGTGCAGAAGGACCTAGTGACCAGATATCAACATTACCAAGGCATGTTGCACTTAGGGTAAGTAAGCCTAAAAGTAAAAGTCCTTTTTTCACGAGGGTAGCACTTAATAGCCAGTGGCTAACAAACCTGTGGCCCTCATTCCGTGATTGAATTGGAATTTAGGAGTTGATGTTTGTGGAGGGAGGAAAACCGGAGAACCCAGAAAACCCTCGAAGCACAGGAGAGAACCAACAAACAACTCTACTCACATAYGACACCAAACYCGATGGGACTCAAACCYGGGTCGCATTGATGAGAGGCAAGTGCTAACACCACTACGCCACCCGTGCTTCCCTGATGAGTACATAAAGTACTTCTCTTGTTAGTAAGACTAGTTACAGATAAAAATCTTATGCATTTGACAGTTTTGTATTTCATAGCTGGTAAATATATAATATTATAAATTTCCRAACTACATAAACATGTCTTGAGGAAAAACTTTTGAAACTAAGGCCGAAACCCAAAAACGTGTGATGATGATTCAATTTGCAACTGAACCAAGACCTCAAAACATGAGTTGCAGTTATGCACTTGATTGCCATCCTTGATTGCATTTTTTCAAAGAATGTGGGGGGGTATGGATAATTTCTTCTGGAACTACACACAATCCTAGACCATTTTTTAGCAGCCTGACAGAATCCTAGGAAATTACCATATTGTGAAGATGATTGCCTTACATTTACATGTATTTTTTTGAATTTAATATTCCAGGTATTCAGTTTCTTGAGCGTAAGTGATCTGGGACGTTGTTCRAGAGTTTGTCGTGCTTGGAAAATGATAGTACAGGCTAATATCTTATGGAGCAAGGTAATATGGGCTGCTGTATTGTTTAACTGTTTACTGCGGTTTTCCATATTCTGCAAAYGCTGAAATTTGGTTTTTCACTGCTGTCAATCAAAAATAATCAGCYGTTACCTTTTAGAGTGATTTTCATAAACCCATGAAATACWTTTTAGCRTATTTAGTACTATTRCGCTCTAACTCCTTTATTTTCTACTGAYTGTTTGCATCTGGCTATTACTATCTAATAAGTAACTTTTGTTTCACGGATTAATGAAAACCACTCTATGTTCTTGACTGGTGACAGTAAAAAGAATAATTTCACAATGAGCTGTAGAAATGTCTGAGTTCACAGAATATGGAAAACCACAGTAAGGTTCATTAGCTAAAAAGGGAAGGTTCTGCATCCTGCAAAAATAATGATTAAGGCAATATATGAATTATTTATTAAAAATTGGRGATAATTAAGTTTAATTATATCTGTATCATAATAAAATTATGGCACATCTYTAGTGTATCTTGCTTATTTCACCAATTTGGCCAGTAACTATCTCAGGGGAGGACTATTTAATCTATTTTATATATTAAAATATATAATAATAATAATATAATAATAATATAATAATAATAATAATAATATAATGAAATATATAATAATTATTAATGAAAGGTTTAAAAATATTGTTTTCAGGTTGACATGTCCGAAGTCAAACACAGGTAAACTTATCATTACTATTATCATGATTATTATTATCATTATTATATTATCATTAAATTATTGATTTGTCATATTTTGTCCTTTCAGTGACCTTAAAAAATCCTTATTAAAAGTCGAACAAATATCTTTACAAAAAAATATATTTTCATGTTTTAGAAAAATTAACTTTTCTAAAGAAATTCAAATACATAGATTTTTAGAAGTTTTTTAGAACAAGCTTATGAAAAGTCTAGAGTCTCTTGCAAAATTTGAGGGTTTTGCCCTCTTGAAGTTCAATACGTGTATGGTTCTTCAATAAAATCTTGTAGATTATTGAGTGGTTTTTGAGCGCCTGCTCATAATGGCTCAAATTGAATGTTCAAAAGTAGGCAGTCACCTTAATCCTAGTAAAAATATATAAATAAGCAAGGAGGGTTTGCTACCACATTCCTCATTTCTATAAATTGTTAAGCTGCTACCACTAGGAACACCAGGAATTTTAGAAGGGGGTGACTATTGCAAAGGTTTTACCAGGAATTCGAGAAAAAGGGGGTGGTTTACTACGATATACTGAGAAATTTGATCAAAAGGGGGGTGACTAGTCATCTATATTTATACCACCCCTGGATCTGCCCCTGAACACCTGCTACAGAACCTACGACATTAAGAGTGGCTGATGGATTCTGGGTTATGTCTGAAGCCCTGTTTACACTAGTGATTTTTGCTGCAATTTTTGCTGTGATTTTTTGCGATTTTGTCCATAATAAATAATGGTAAAGAATTTACTTGTAAAGTTTTTTTCAGGATACCAAGATTTTCCTAGATGAATGTCTCTTTTGAAGGATGAGATAAAAGATTTCATATTTCTGTAAATTGCCACAAAAATTGCAGCGAAAATCGCCCCAAAAATCGCCAGTGTAAACGGGGCTTGAGTGTTTATCCTATGGCTTTACTTAACAGGGCTACCAATAAAGTTACATCCAAGCTTGTAATCAAGTGTAGACCATTTCTTGGTCACTTGAATCTCAGAGGCTGTTATCACCTCACCAAGGAGAGTTTGAGAATCATAAGTAAGTTTTGTAAAAATAGACCATATGCGATTCTCTTGACAATAAGGGATCGTTCATTTTTTATCAGGGGGGGGGGGGGGGGGGGGAATTTCCAACAAGAGCCCATACAAGAAAAACTAGCCCCCCTCTATATTGCTGTTGACATCTGCTGCCCCCCCTCATGTTCGATCTATACCTGAATGGCCCCCCCTTTTGACATTGATTCTTCTACATGTGGCCCCCCTCTATAAGCCGGATTTTTTTACATGCCCCCCAGATTTCCAACAGTCCTCCCCCTCCCCCTCCGCTGCGCTCACTTGTGAGATATCAATTGAACACTCGAAGATAAAATTTGTATCTCCGCGCGCCCATGTAATATCCTCTATATAATAATAATAATGGGAGGTTCTTAGCGCATTTATACAATGTCTCAATGCGCTTTACATTAATGACCAGTGGAGGACTGTATGGGCTGYATATTAAGGCACTAGTAGCAGCCGTACAGCTTACAATCATGAGTGAATCAATTGTTAATCCATGCAAATGAGATTTCAAGGTTACCTTTTCAAGTAGTAATACCCAGTGATCTTTTGTCTTGGCAGGTCAGTGCAGAAATTTGCAAGATCTTAATCTGTCTGATATCACTGGTGTTAYGGTAATGTGTACTTTTTAAAGTTGGAATTTTTTTAAAATGAAAAAAATGAAAACCATAATGGAGAATTAAAAAAATGAAATAGAAATCGAATAATGAATGGGATGACATGCACTTTCAGAATATTATTGATTATAATACACTCRACAAAATTAGTCCATTCTGATTGGTCAAGAGGAGTACAATTAAATCCCAAATTGTACACTTTAGAGTCCCAATTAAATTTCTCAGTTTTGTTGAGTGTATTATAAACAATAAATTGCACAAAGTTCTTGTACAATTCGGAATTTATAGATACTAGTAATGTCTTGTCCAATTTTGAAAATTTTCAAAATATCACTTGTACCTATAAATTCCAAATTRTACTCAAGATCTTGCGATTTCCTATACGAATCACTTGATTACAACCCATTTATTGYAYGAGTAYCTATTACACTGTTGTAGTAAGTTATTATATCATCTAGCAATCATCCACTGTCTTCAGTATAAATTAATCAAAAATACTAAAATGCTAGTTTCGTTTCTATTAATTTAATATCAGGATGATGTGATGAAGGAAATAGCAATGGGATGTACCAGTCTTCTTTACCTTAATATAGCAAGTTGTCAGATATCAGATTCTACACTACGATACCTTGCAAGGTAMAGTTAAATTAWAGTCAAGAGAACAGACATCMTTCAATAATTTACAGTCAGATTGATCTTGTTATATTGGCAAATATCTTTTAGTATTACTGTGGTTTTCTATATTCTGTGAACTCAGACATTTCAATGGGGTGTTGTGAAATTGTTTTTTTACTGCAGCTAGTCAAAAAGATTGACAGCAGCAAAACAACAAATTTTAGTGTGCAGCTTGCAACTATTGAGAGTTCACAGAATATTAAAAACTGCAGCTGTAAGCAAATATGGGAAGCACAGGTGGCGTAGCGATGAGAGCGCTCGCCTCTCATCAACGTGACCCGAGTAAGAGTCCTGCTGGGTTCAGTGTCGTATATGAGTAGAGTTGTGTGTTGGTTCTGTCCTGTGCTTCGAGGGTTTTCTGGGTTCTCCGGCTTTCCTCCCTCCGCAAAAATCAACTCCTAAATTCCAATTGGAATTACAGTGGATGAATAGCTACTCTGTAGAAATGCCACTGTTAAATCCCATTTATTTTATTTTTATTTTATTTATAATATAATATATTACACAAAACTGCATCCTATGATTTTAAAAAAATTGTAAAAAATCAAAAAAACTCTTTATAAAAAAGACCTCATTAAGAAATTCAAGACAATGGATAATAGCATTGGAACGACATCTTGAATTCCACAGTACATATTTATAATATTTTCATATTATATTTTCTGTGGTCCCACATTGAGGACATTCAGGATAACAGGAGTCTGCTGTATCAATGAGACTAACAAAAGATGCATGACATTGCACAGAAGATAATGATKAAAACCCAGAAAGTTGCGAATAACTGGGGCTATGATAACCTACAAGTCCCAATATTCAATTCATCCCTTTACCTGTCGAGCACAAAATTATGAACTTGATGACATGTCTTATCTCTTAATATAGGTATTGTACCAATATGCAGTA